ATATATATATATATATATATATATATATATATATACACACACACACACACACACACACACATATATATATATATTATACTCACATGCAGACAGCATACATGACAATGAATACAAACATTATAGAAAAGAACACATACATATGTGGCGAAATGTTCCAATCAAAACAACACAAAGCGCTCAGAGCATCAGATCTGCTGACGTTGCTAGCTGATTAGCTGATTAGCTCGCTTATCTAATGCACAAACAACGCAGCTATCCGTGAACTTCCGTGAACTAATTACGCGATTATGTTTCTAATAATGTAGAATTAAAAACATTACCTGCTCCGTCTCATCAAAACGTCTGAGGAGAGAGAAATTAAAAGAGACGCCGCTTCTCTCATCAGCTTACAGCGGATTGCGTCAACGTTACTCCACCCGGAAGTTAAAGCCCACTGACGTCATGCGCGTTAGACCTATCGAAATGAAGCGTCCGTTTCTGGGATTGATATACAAAAGCACTATGCAAAGGATCTTGCAATACAAATCATACAATTCACCAATCAAGAATATATATAACCTAATACCAATATAAAGTAAATAACATAAAAAATAATAAATAACTGCAAAGATAATAAATTATAATTATAAAACTAAATTATACAGTCACATTAAAAACACACCCCGTGTTCACCCTCAGTTCATCTGAGATTAGGATGAGTTTGTTTCTTCATCAGATTTGTAGAAATGTAGCACTGCATCAGTGTCTCAGCAATGGATGCTCTGCAGTGAATGGGTGCCGTCAGAATGAGAGTCCAAACAGCTGATAAAAACATCACAATAATCCACAAGTAATCCACAGCACTCCAGTCCATCAGTTAACATCTGGAGAAGAGAAAAGCTGAAACACATCCAGCATTACGACATTTTTAACTCAAATACGAGTTCATAATCCATAATAACGCTTCCTCCAGTGAAAAAGTGCATCTCCTGTTGTCTCTAACATCAAAATCCAGCCACATATTTGTTTAGAGCTGTTTAAACGCTGCTTGATCTGTGCAGATTTCTCTCCTGATTCAGACCAGAACACCTTTTCACTGGAGGAAGCCTTATTATGGATTCTAGACTCAATGTATTTTAGTTAAAAACGTCTTAATGCTGGATGTGTTTCAGCTTTTGTCTTCTCCAGATGTTAACTTCAAGTCTTCACTGTATATTTGCTGATGGCTGAAGCTCAGACATTCCTTTATCTCTCGTCATCACAAAACTATGTCACAAACATGATTCTGCTGGGAAAGGATGTGATTCATTGCCATTTTTGCGCTCTTAAAGGGTTAGTTCACCCAAAAATGAAAATTAGGCTGCGTTAAGGGAAGCAGCTCCGGGAGCATGACGTATGAGTTCAGCGTTGCGCATGCGCCGGTGAGTCTCGTGAAAACCAACGTTTGTTAACAGGAGCAAAGGAAGCAAAGTTTCATAACTCTAGCAAAGGAAAACCAGTCTCCTCTCAGCTTATATCGAAATCCTCCGACATTCTTCTTTACAAATCCTCGTTTTGTACTTCTACTTCTTGACAGTTGTTTTGACTTCAGGGTGAGTAATTTATGGGCTAATTTCCATTTTTGGGTGAACTAACCCTTTAAAATAAAATTCTCAGAACTAACTTCCATCATTTTTGTCCTGTGTTGACGCTGTTTTGGTGATTTTAGAGGATCTACAGCTTTTCTCAACCATGTTTCACACCAACAAAGTGCTTCAATAGTTTTTGGACTTCATGCTCAACACTAGAATGTATTGTTATCGTTTCAGACTGTACAAACTTTAATTATAATGTGTGACCCTGGAGCACAAAAGCAGTGTTAAGTCGCTGGGGTATATTTGTAGCAATAGCCAACAATACATTGTATGGGTCAAAATTATACATTCTTCTTTTATGCCAAAAATCATTAGGATATTAAGTAAAGATCATGTTCCATGAAGATATTTTGTACATTTCCTACCATAAATATATCAAAACTTAATTTTTGATTAGTAATATGCATTGCTAAGAACTTCATTTGGACAACTTTAAAGATGATTTTCTCAATATTTAGATTTTTTTGCACCCTCATATTCCAGATTTTCAAATAGTTGTATCTCGGCCAAATATTGTGCTATCCTAACAAACCATACATCAATGTAAAGCTTATTTATTCAGCTTTCAGATGATGTTTAAATCTCAGTTTCAAAAAACTGACCCTTATGACTGGTTCTGTGGGTCACAAATATTTTTGTGTGTCTTGTTTTCACTGAATGACATTTTTAGTACAGTGTGTGAGGAAAGAGCAGGATTACAGTAGGGGCGGGGCGTGCGTCGGTCATGGGGGCGGGGCCTGCGGTTGCCAGGCGCTGGGTCACTTGTGTGGGAAGTGCTGAAATTTCAACGCGTCACAGCCGCGTTACGCACGGATCACACGCAGATTCTGATCGCCGACGAGCTCGAGGGAACGACGCGTTTAACGGCGGCACTTTAAGCCGAGAACTAGTCCTCTACTTGATAACTCAGCAGCTAACTAACTACTCCAGCAGCAGTCCGTTAGCGAGCGTCACTCACACCTTCGCATCTCAGGGCTCGGATATTAACACTTCCGATCGAGCTGATCGATCAATCAATGATCATGGAGAGGAAGAAGGCGGACTGTCCGGCGCTTCCACCCGGCTGGAAGAAGGAAGAAGTGATCCGGAAGTCCGGGATGAGCGCTGGGAAGAGTGATGTGTATTATTACAGGTGAGTCTGGCTTTTTCTGGGTGTTATTGTGTTTGTTTGAAGTGTGCGCGCCGACGATGTGTTCACCCAGAATACACATATTTGGAGCAATTATTGTTAATAATTTATAAGTAAACAATCACTTACATAACTATGTTTCATTATTGATATAAGTACAGTGATGCATGTGTGTTTTTGTGTAAGATGTGAGCATGGGGTGGCGTGGTTAAGATGCGTTTTGGAAACAAAACAACAAATTTAATGACAAAATGTATTTTTCAATGCGTTTCTTGCCATTTCGTTGTAATTATTTGTGAAATGTTGTTTTCAAAATAAATCATACCAGGGTTAGATTTAAACTAAAACCACAAAAATATTTCTGTTATTTTAAATAAAATAAATGTTAACTAAAATAAAAAAAAATATAATATATTTATATCAAAGCATATAAACATAATAAAAATAAACTATACGAAAATTAAAATTAAAACTGACATAAAAGTAATAAAAGCTATATAGACATATTTAAAACAACAAAAACGTATGAAAATTGAGCTGGTGTATTAAATGAGTGATTTTGAGCAAGAAGTATTCAGTTTTTTCTTTCTTTCTTTTCTGTCTAAGCGGGCGGTTTGTAGCTAGTATTAGCTGACGCTATGCTGATAATCGAAAGACTGACTGGCTGATGTTATTTTGGAGCCATACTGAACTTACTTCATATGAAAACTGAGTTTCACCTCTCGAAACCCTCAAGCGAATCGTCTTGTCTTTATTCAGATGGCTGGAGTGTGTTTGTATCTGATTAGTTTTATATATCTGACATGATAACTGGACACTCCTCACTGAAATAAACATAATGAGGTCATGTGACAATAGTAATATAGTAGTAATATATACTATACTTTTTTTTTCCAGCTAAAAATTGCAACTGCATTTTATAATGCATGCAAAAAAACTTGCATTATAAATTGCAGGTGCAGAAAAGACCCTGATTGTATGTAAAAAATTATATTAAAACAATTCTCTTACCCTGTATACAATATTTGAATATTAAAAATAATTATATGCAGTGTTTAGTTCATATTAAATGCAGAATTAATTTTGTTTACAGTCCTAATTAAATTGTATCCGCTGGATGACATATATGTCAGCGTTATATATAGTTACAGGTATCAGCATTGGTTTTTGATGATCTACATTAGTCAGACACTAAATCAAGGGCAGTAAAGAGTATTGCTGTGCAGTGGTTGTGTGATGTGATTATTACTCAAACCTCATCACACACACGACGCCTGCGACTCGAGTCAAACCCTCTTCTTCAGTCCGTCTGCAGAGATTCATGTGTTTTCAGTGTTGCAGTGAGTCGAGCGCCATGAAGCCGCTGCGTTTGTTCACGTGCCATGGGGGAAGGGTGTGTGTGTGTGTGTGTATAAGGTGCCATCATTGCAGCGGAAGGCCTGTAAACTGATCAGCCATCAGAATATATCTGCACTCCTCAAGTGATGGACTCGGTCTGTGGCGTCTCAGGACATCTGAGTGACATCACTTCCTGTTACATTCCATTTAAGTGCATGTAGAACTCAATGGATGCTCTGCAGTGAATGGGTGCCGTCAGAATGAGAGTCCAAACAGCTGATAAAAACATCACAATAATCCACAAGTAATCCACAGCACTCCAGTCCATCAGTTAACATCTGGAGAAGACAAAAGCTGAAACATATCCAGCATTAAGACGTTTTTAACTAAAATACATTGAGTCCATAATCCATAATAACTATTCCTCCAGTGAAAAAGTGCATCTCCTGGTGTCTCTCATATGTGTTTAGAGCTGTTTAAACGCTGCTTGATCTGTGCAGATTTCTCTCCTGATTCACACCAGAACACTTTTTCACTGGAGGAAGCGTTATTATGGATTAGGTAGATTAGATATGGTCCTGTTTCTCCGCTGACGTCTCTCTCGACGATGCTAATGGAGCTTCATTAGTTTCATTGTTTCTCACTCGAGCGCAAACAGGCAACAAGCCAACAGACGACTTCCTGTTAGTGCTGCGAACTGTGAACTGTTATTGAGTCATTCCCAATAAACTCTGGAGCAGCTGCATGCGTTCGAGAGCTTCATTCTTCTAGCGTGAAGCAGACCGGCGGCCCAAGCGCTTCAGTGTTTATGCGAATGGAAAACTGTAGTAAAATCCTCTGAGCGTTTCCTCTTGAGTGGCTCAGTCTACTAAACAAATGATGTTACATGTGAGTTTGCAGCGTGAAAGCGACGCTTCAATTCACCATCAAGCCTTTTCACAGGCTTGTACGAGTAAAGCAGAGAGTTTTAACAACACTGTGTCCGTACATTAAAGCTATAAGTAAAATGGTCATTTCCAACCCAGATATATATTTATATTTTATTTATGTTTACATTTCCTCACTACAGGTAAAAGGTCAATGTAGCTAATTAAAACCAATATATTTTTCTTAATACATTTTTAACACTATTTACTTAAGTAATAATCATTAACAATTGTTTACAGTTATTATTTCCATATATATATTAATTATGCCTATCATCTAAAAATTATATAGAAATTATATAAATGTATAATTTATAAAATCTTTATATAATACTTTTTTATTGCAGGTAATTTTTTATTTACACACAGGTGTGTTAACACACTTTAAACTGGACACAAATAATTACTGTAAAAGATAAATAATTTTACAGTAATTATTTGTAGTAAAAGTTATTATTACAAATAATTATGGCAATTTATATTTTTTATTGACAAATTATTTATTTATGATTACTGATGAAATAAATAGTAACAATTATCTTTTATATAAAACTATTATTTGTGTATGTATTAGTGTATTAGATTATTATTGACCTTTGACCTCTTACCTTGTCAAAAACAAATGTTTTGCACTGCAAATGGGTGTTTTAAGCTATACACAAAAATAACTATGAAATAATTTAATCTTTTGTCAGTTTTATTAATAAATTATTTAATAATGATTATTGATCAAATAAGCAGTGAATGATTATTGTTTAGTACCAAATATTTTTAATCCAAGTATATTTTTTTGGATTATAGAATTGTTAAAGGAATAATTCACCCTAAAAAACAAACAAACAAACAAACAAAAAACAAGGTGTTCAGCAAAGTGACAGTCTCAGCTATATTCACTCTAAATGCTTCATCTGTCTGTCTGTCTGTCTCTGCGTCTCTCTGTCTGTCTGTCTCTCTGTCCATCCGTCTGTCTGTCTGTCCATCTGTCTGTCTCTCCGTCTGTCTCTCCGTCTGTCTGTCCGTCTGTCTGTCTGTCTGTCTCTCCGTCTGTCTCTCCGTCTGTCTGTCTGTCCGTCTGTCTGTCTGTCTGTCTCTCCGTCTGTCTGTCCATCTGTCCATCTGTCTGTCTGTCTGTCTGTCTATCTCTCTGTCTGTCTGTCCGTCCGTCCGTCCGTCCGTCCGTCCGTCCGTCCATCCGTCCGTCCGTGTCTGTCTGTCTGTCTGACTGTCTCTCTCTCTGTCTGTCTGTCTGTCCATCTGTCTGTGTGTCCATCTGTCTGTCTGTCTGTCCGTCCATCTGTCTCTCTGTCTGTCCGTCCATCTGTCTGTCTGTCTCTCTGTCTGTCTGTCTCTCTGTCTGTCTCTCCGTCTGTCTCTCCGTCTGTCTGTCTGTCTGTCTGTCTATCTCTCTGTCTGTGTGTCCGTCCGTCTGTCTGTCTGTCTGTCTCTCTGTCTGTCTGTCTCTCTGTCTGTCTCTCCGTCTGTCTCTCCGTCTGTCTGTCTGTCTGTCTGTCTATCTCTCTGTCTGTGTGTCCGTCCGTCTGTCTGTCTGTCTGTCTCTCTGTCTGTCTGTCTCTCTGTCTGTCTCTCCGTCTGTCTCTCCGTCTGTCTGTCTGTCTGTCTGTCTATCTCTCTGTCTGTGTGTCCGTCCGTCTGTCTGTCTGTCTGTCTCTCTGTCTGTCTGTCTCTCTGTCTGTCTCTCCGTCTGTCTCTCCGTCTGTCTGTCTGTCTGTCTGTCTATCTCTCTGTCTGTGTGTCCGTCCGTCTGTCTGTCTGTCTGTCTCTCTGTCTGTCTGTCTCTCTGTCTGTCTCTCCGTCTGTCTCTCCGTCTGTCTGTCTGTCTGTCTGTCTATCTCTCTGTCTGTGTGTCCGTCCGTCTGTCTGTCTGTCTGTCTCTCTGTCTGTCTGTCTCTCTGTCTGTCTCTCCGTCTGTCTCTCCGTCTGTCTGTCTGTCTGTCTGTCTATCTCTCTGTCTGTGTGTCCGTCCGTCTGTCTGTCTGTCTGTCTCTCTGTCTGTCTGTCTCTCTGTCTGTCTCTCCGTCTGTCTCTCCGTCTGTCTGTCTGTCTGTCTGTCTATCTCTCTGTCTGTGTGTCCGTCCGTCTGTCTGTCTGTCTGTCTCTCTGTCTGTCTGTCTCTCTGTCTGTCTCTCCGTCTGTCTCTCCGTCTGTCTGTCTGTCTGTCTGTCTATCTCTCTGTCTGTGTGTCCGTCCGTCTGTCTGTCTGTCTGTCTCTCTGTCTGTCTGTCTCTCTGTCTGTCTCTCCGTCTGTCTCTCCGTCTGTCTGTCTGTCTGTCTGTCTATCTCTCTGTCTGTGTGTCCGTCCGTCTGTCTGTCTGTCTGTCTCTCTGTCTGTCTGTCTCTCTGTCTGTCTCTCCGTCTGTCTCTCCGTCTGTCTGTCTGTCTGTCTGTCTATCTCTCTGTCTGTGTGTCCGTCCGTCTGTCTGTCTGTCTGTCTCTCTGTCTGTCTGTCTCTCTGTCTGTCTCTCCGTCTGTCTCTCCGTCTGTCTGTCTGTCTGTCTGTCTATCTCTCTGTCTGTGTGTCCGTCCGTCTGTCTGTCTGTCTGTCTCTCTGTCTGTCTGTCTCTCTGTCTGTCTCTCCGTCTGTCTCTCCGTCTGTCTGTCTGTCTGTCTGTCTATCTCTCTGTCTGTGTGTCCGTCCGTCTGTCTGTCTGTCTGTCTCTCTGTCTGTCTGTCTCTCTGTCTGTCTCTCCGTCTGTCTCTCCGTCTGTCTGTCTGTCTGTC